GGGGCTTCCTGGAGGGACCGGGATGGTGTGCTTGTGCATGCGGGTCCCTGGCTGATTAGAAACGCCCTGCACTGCCGCGTCCCCCGTGAGTCGTGTCCTTTCCTCCAGGATAGAGACCCGAGCCGCGAGATCCCGAGGGCTCAGGGTGCACAGGCCTTTGTGTGGGCGTAATTAGTGGGCTCAGGCTTTCGGAGCTCCCTCCCCTACATGCAAGGCGGGGCTGCTCTGGCCTTGGTAGCAGGGAGCCCCCCTCGTGGAACAAAGAGCCGATGGGCCACCTGCTGTCTCAAGGCTTCCAGGTTCTTTGGTTGGTGAAAGATACTTTAGAAGGCCAGCAGGCTTGGGCTGTGCCCCCCCTGTAGCTACAGCACCACCCCCCTGCACCCCTACCCCTACTCGCAGGCGCCTTTGGGAAGGGGGGCGCCTGTCACGTGCTGAGCTCTCCGGTGTGGGGATGGGTGCGTGGCAGGCTGGTCGCCCTAGTGGCCCGTGCGGGGGCCCTGGTGAGGGGCTTTCCTCGAGCGATGACGCCATTCTTGGCATGCTCTGGCCCCACTGCCCCATGTTAGAGAAGCAGCTTAAGGGGTGTGTGCAGGGGAGGGGTGCCTGGGCGGCCTTGGCCGTCTCTTAGTCCCTAAAAGGGACTTGTGTGATGTCAGGTCTTAAGGAGGGGCTGCAGGTCGTGCCTGCTAGGGACACTGTCGAGGTGCACTGCCTTTGCCGCGTGTACACCAGTGGGTCTCCCCCGCCCCAGGGTCAGTAAGGCAGCCCCAGGCCAGGAGCCCTGCACAGGTGCAGGAACTGCCTGTCATTGTTTAAGGCGCCCCCAAAGCACCACCCAGCCTCCTGCTACAGCTGTGGGTGCAGGTGGCACATGGGGGTCTGTGACGAACTGGGAGGCCCTGCAGAGGTGCCGCTGTGCAGAAGCCAGCGAGTGGTCAGTGCCCGCACACCCTTTCATAAAGGCTCAGGTCCTTCCAGGGGCCCCTCACCCGCATAGAGTGCAGTCCGGTGACTTGGGGCACTCCCGAAGTCGCGCTGCTGACGCATCCATGCAATGCTGGAGCGTCCTCACCAGCCCGCGGTCTGTCCGCATCAGCGCTCACCCCGTTTCCCTCCCCCAGCCCCTGGCACCCACCAGTTCACTTTGTCTTTTTCTTTTTTTCTTTTTCTTTTTTTTTTTTTTTTGAGAGATTCTCACTGTAGGGCGCGTGCGCTCGCCAGACAGACAGAGAGAGACATAGAGACAGGAAGCGAGAAATCACCCCCCAGGGGGGGTGGTCACGCCGCAATCCCTTCTCCTCCAGTCTCCTCTCGGGATCTTGGGCACGCATGCACACGCGCCCAGCGGGAGTGTAAGCCACCGGGTCGGGATGCGAACCGCGGTCGACTACGTGGGAGTCCAGTGACATAGCCATTACGCTAACTGCTGGTTCCCCGTCTTTTTCTTTTTTTTTTGGTGAGGTTTTTGGTAGAGGGCACGTATGCTTGCCAGAAAGACAGAAAGCGAGAAATCACCCCCCAGGGTGGACGGGGACGGCCACGCCGCAGTCCCTTCTCCTCCATCCTCCTCTCGGGATCGTGGCCACGCATGCACATGTGCCCGGTGTGAGTTTAAGCCACCGGGTCCAGGACTCAAATCACAGTCAGCTACATGGGAGTCCAGCAATATAGCCATTACACCACCTGCTGGTCCCAGGCCTTTGTTTTGTTTTGTTTTTAAACTTTATTTACTTATTTTAATATGACCAGAAAGGGACAAAGAGAGAGAAAGTGAGAAAGCAAGCTGCCACGTCCAGGACTCAAACCTTGGTCAGCCATGTGGGAGTCCAGTGCCCTTAACCACCACCCCACCTGCTGGGCCGTTTTTTTAAACAAGGTGTAGACACACACCTCGCCTGTGCCCCGGGAGCGTGCCAGCAGCCCGTGGATGTCTGGCGTGGTCACACACCGGCAGCCATAGCCACCTCAACTTAGGAACTGGCCTCGCCCAGGGAGAACCCGGGGCCCTTTGAACAACCCCAGCCCTCAGCCCCACCAGCCTAAGCTGTCTGCCAGGGGGCGACTGGGGGAGGGACTGTAGGAGCGTTCCCTGGGCATCGGCATAGGGTGTGGGGTTTCCTTGCTTTCCCTCTGTGGGCGAAGGCCCTGGGGCTGCCCCGCCGTCGCCTGAGGAAGAGTGCATCTCCCAGGCGGCCCAGGGTCTCCATGCGCTGCCCTCCATCCCGGATTCCGCCCAGGGCGAGGGCGATGCAACGTTTCCACCAGCCAGGCTGGACCAGGGCGCGGGCCAGGCCCCCAGCTGCAGCCACAGGTGTCGAGGGTGGGCTTACTCTTGGTTGTGCCAGGCAGGAGGGCTCTGTCCTGGAGGTGCAGGGAGAAGGCAGAGGCATGGCTCCCCATCCTTGGCTGGAAGTACCTGCCCACCGCATGCGCCCACCAAAAGTACAGGGCGGCTCCTAGTGTAGGCAGTTCCTAGTGTTAGCGACCCTGCGGCCGACTGCAACCCCAGAAAGACCCCCGGCCCCTGCGCCCGCAGACCCCCTCCCTGTCCCTCAGGACCTGCCTGTTCTGGCCACCCCGCACGCGCACCGCACCCATGCCTGGGTGAGCGCGTGCACGCTGGGGCCTGTCGGAGCTCCAGGTTATGTGCACCGTGGCCGCGAGGCCATTGTGTGCCGGTTCTGTGTGGCTGTGTGCCGTCTCTCCAGCCGCACACCCGGAGCGGGCCCGCTCGGTCTTACCCTCAGGCCTCCGCACTGCACCCCGCGCACTCCAGGGGCCGGTCACCCTCCAGCGCGGTGCCGTGTCATGCAGCATCTCTGTAGACTGGCGTCATTACTAACGGAGGGCTGCTCCGCCAGGGCTCGCCGGCACCTCTGGAGGGTCCCGCCCCAGAGCTCACCATGAGCCCCCTTTAGGCCCTCCTCGTGGTCCCCAATTACCTGCTCTCCTCGGCCTTTCTCTCGAGGGCGCCCTGACATGCTTCTGGGACGTTCTGCTAGTGTAAGCTGGGCCCCGGGGCGCTTCGGGGAGCTGCGCTGTTCCGGGGCTGGGGGGCCGGGCGTGGGCGGGGTGGCGCCGACCCTCGCGCCTGTGTTCGCAGCCCGAGCGGGAAGAAGTTCCGGAGCAAGCCGCAGCTGGCGCGCTACCTCGGGGGCTCCATGGACCTCAGCACCTTCGACTTCCGCACAGGCAAGATGCTGATGACCAAGGTCAACAAGAGCCGCCAGCGCGTGCGCTACGACTCATCCAACCAGGTCAAGGTGAGCCTGCCCCGCCCCGCCGTTTGCGTGCAGGTGACGCCAGCGCCGCAGCGTCAGGGCGGGTGACTGACGTGTGCGGCTGTGCGCGCAGGTGACGCCAGCGTCAGGGCGGGTAGTTGGCGCGAGCAGCCTGCGCCGTGCGTACAGCCAGCAGGGCGCATGGCGAGGGTGCGGCCAGCGAGGTCCGGGGCTCGGGGTCAGGGGTGGCAGGACCGCCCACCCGTCCCCGTGATGGCCTCAGGGTTCAAGAGGACCTTGGAGGTCACTGGCGAGCCAGAGAACAGCAAGGCCAGCTACCCTGCGCCCAGGGCAGGCGACGTTTCCTCCGCTCGCCGCGCGGGCCCACTCACAACCCCGCCCAGGGCTGGTGGGGGGCCTGGGCGCTCTCATGCAGGGGTGCGTCAGGGGCTTGGAACCCTCGTGCAGGGGTTTCGGGACTTGGGTGCGCGGTCTGGCGATGGTGCGCTCTGGAAACTGGGCTCGCTCGGGCTGGGATTCGTCGGGTCCTGGGTGCGCTTTGGCGACGTGCTTGCGCGCTCCTGCAAGGGAGTGCTCAGGGAACTGGGCGCCCTCGGGCAGTAGTTCGTCAGGCCCGAGCGCGCTCCGGCCCCGCTGCAGCGCTGTCTCCCCGCAGGGGAAGCCGGATCTGAATACGGCGCTGCCTGTCAGGCAGACGGCGTCCATCTTCAAGCAGCCGGTGACCAAGATTACCAACCACCCTAGCAACAAAGTGAAGAGCGACCCGCAGAAGGCTGTGGACCAGCCGCGGCAGGTGGGCCGCCCCGCGCCCCTCACATGCGAACTTGGGCTGCTCTGAGATCCGGAAAGTGGCAGTAAGCCTAGCTGGTTCCCAGCCTAGGTCTGCACTTTAGAAAGAAGGCGTCCTCAGGCCGGTCACCATGGGCGGAGCCTCCGGGTGGGGCACGGGCGCGGGCAGGGGGCAAACGCAGCCAGGATGGTCACCGCACCCGCTCGGGGTCAGACTTCCTGCCCGACTCCTGCCTGGGGCTGCTGGTGCCCTGCTCCCGGAGCTCCTCCGTGCGGGGTCCTGGAATCTGCTTTCCAAAGCCACAGACCCACGAGTGCTCGCCTAGTGTTTGGGAAAGGCTGCCACCTCTTTGGGCACCCCAGCCCTGTGCAGCTGGGGTGGGGACAAGCGAGTCACGTGCAGGACATGGGGCTTCCGGAGCCCTGCGAGGACCTGCTCAGGGAGGGCTGCCGGGGTGGAAGCTGGAGTTCTGGGGCTCGGGCTGCACCTGGCGCACACTCGGACGGCGGGGCTCAGAGCTGGAGTCCCTGGGCTGGATTCCCCGGGGCTGGGGGCTGGGCCGGGGCACTTAGGACGTCCTATCGGACAGCTCTTCTGGGAGAAGAAGCTGAGTGGCCTGAATGCCTTCGACATCGCGGAGGAGCTGGTGAAGACCATGGACCTCCCCAAGGGCCTGCAAGGTGACCCACGCGGGCGGGCCCCTCCTATGGGATGGGTACTCACGGGTGGCCCGGGTGGCTCTGTGGGGCTGGGGGCGTGCTGTGCCTGCCTCCCACCCGTCGGGTGACCTGCCTGCGGCCCGCAGGGGGGGCCGGGCCGCCCCGACCGAGCCGCTGCTGTCCGCCATCGCCAGTGCCCTGCACACCAGCAGCACACCCATCACCGGGCAGCTGTCGGCCGCCGTGGAGAAGAACCCCGGCGTGTGGCTCAACACGGCGCAGCCGCTGTGCAAGGCCTTCATGGTGACCGACGAGGACATCAGGTAGCTGGCCCCCTGTGACTGGCCATCTGCTGCTCTTGCTCCCACTGAGGAGGCAGGGAGGACCCTCCCCCAGGAGGGCATCCCACCTCACAGCTGGCTCCGGCAGCCAA